TGTATTACGAAGTAGAGAAAATATTAAAAAAAATTTTGAAGCAGTAGTCAAAATATTTGTGAAATGCGCGCAAAAATATTTTTATTATTGTATTCATCAACTAAGCCTTTCTGAATGCTAAAATATAATTATCGTATCGTGATTGGTTTTATTCAGTAAAAGCACATGGTCGAAAGTCAAAAAAGAATAGAGTTTCATCAAACAATAGGTAATTCTTCGGTGAGACAGATTTCTTTTTCTCTAAAGAAGCTATTTGAAACATCATTCAACAAACAATATCCCATCAAGTTATGACTCGTCCTATTGAAAATACGATGATGTGAGATGGCGAAAATTACATGCCGGAAGCTTTATAATAATATACCACTAAAATTACAAATTTACATCTGGCAGATACGGACAGTTTTTTATCGATATGGCACCATTCCCGGACCGATTACTCGTTCTAATTGATATTTTATTTTATAGCTTTATCGAACGAAAGCCTAAATACCTATCTTGTCGTTTTTGTTATTGCTCAAATTAAAAAATTAAAGCGATAGTTATGAACAGTGTTGGGCATTGTTATTAAGTCCAGTCATTTTGATTTCAAACTGGATTTATAAATTTTTATACGTCCATTAGTTTTTTATCGTTATAGGTCCAGTTGGTTCAATGAATTTACTTGTATCTTTGACATTTTTTTTTAGAGATTACCGTACTTTTTATCACAAATTTCAAAATCCGGTTTAAAGCCAGTTTGTGTCCGGGCTTATCGAATGTCCGATTTATCGAGATTCACTTATGATTATGTTATCGGACCAAATTTTTAATAATTTCATAAATTCGATTTTTAATATATCGATATTAATCAGTATTAAATGTTTCAAGTTATAATGAGATCAAAAAGAAACTTCTTGAATTGTATATAAAAGGTATAACGAAAATTATCTAATTTTTAATTTTTTTAACCTTAACACTTAATTTTTAAACTATTAGTTTTAAATTTGAATTATTAATTAATATGAGAATATCTTTGCCTATATAAATAAATATATGCATTTTATTTTACAAATTTTTAATTTAATACCAATACTATTATTACATGAAAAAAATCTGATTTACTTTAATAAAAAATACTTGAGAGAAATCATGGAAAAGTAAACGAAATATTGTTAACATTTGAAATGTTCTTCGGAAAGCAAACTTTGATAGCATCTTTTAAACTAAAACAGATGCAAGCAGACATTCTAATTGAAATTGATTAAATTTTCATCTTTTATTAGTCACTGCGTTTCAGATTAATATTTTTTTTGCTATTTTTTTTTGTATTGAAAATGAAAATAGTTTTTATGATAGATGTATAGCAAATGCTTGTAAAATTGACCAAATATTATATCTTTAAGAAATCTTTAGTAGCTTATATAAGATAATGACTTACACATAAGCATGCAATAATTTCTTATCATTATATATACAAATGACAAAATCACAAGCCTATTAGCTTTTGATTCCAAAATTGTCTATAAAATTAAATTGTTCATCTATAATTAAATCAAGAGAATAAACGTTTTTCGTATCTAAAAAAAAGATTAATAAATAATGTGATATGATATGAAATTAAATGTAATGATTTACAAAGTATTAATTAATAATACACTCACGAATATAACCCATGAACTCCGCCTTCAACTTGTGCTGCGGCAGTTCTAACCTCGAATCTAACTTTACCAACCCTTACAGCCTCACGCAAACTTGATAAACTATTAGCCCCAATGTCTTGTAATCCATGTTGAAGACCTGTAATGAGATAGGGCACGAATTTTCGAACTGAACCCTTATCGACGACTGCACCTGCAACACCTTGCGCTACTTTAACCACATCTCGTTCCGAGAAATAACGCTGAGTAGCAGCATTACCAATTTTTTCATTTTTATTCGAGCCATATTCCATTGCATCTAATGAACCCATTCCCCGATATTTTTTTAACCGTTTTCCTTCATGATAAAAGTATTCACCGGGTGATTCTGTGGTTCCGGCTAATAAACCACCCATCATGACAGCGGAAGCTCCTAATGCAAGAGCTTTAGTAATATGTCCTACATTCTGAATTCCACCATCTGCAATAACTGGAATTCCAAATCGATGAGCGAATTGCGACACTTTGTAAACTGCGGTGCCCTGTGGACGTCCGACAGCCATAACTATAATTTAAATAAAAAAATAGGATGATATTGAATCTAATTAAACATAATGTGCAATTAGAAAAGGTGTACAATTATAGAATAAACTAGAGGTCTTAAAAGATTGGACTGGGCCAGTCTGCATTCAGAAAGCGTGCACTTAGGGAAAGTTTCTGTTTTTAATTCAAGGAAACATTGTTTATTACCTTCTTGAGTAATACATATGCTACCGCTACCCATACCAACACGTAAAGCATCGGCACCTGCTTCAATTAGCGTAGCAGCTTGTTCTCTTGTGACAACATTTCCTGCGATTATATCAATTTGATTTCCATAAGTTTGTTTGATATATTTAATCATTTCAACTTGATATATCGAATTGCCTTGGCTCGAATCTAATATTACTATATCTAATCCTGCATCTACCAATTTTTCCAAACGTAATTTATCATCTGATCTTGTGCCAATAGCAGCGGCGCAAATAAGTTGTTTTGAATCTGCAGTTTTCGAAGCCAAGGGAAAGTTTAAATTTTTCAAGAGATCGGATCTGGCTAACAATGCCACAAGTTCTCCGCGTGAATTAACAATCGGTAGTTTGCCCTTTTTGCTTGACCTTAATATTTGATTAGCTTCTTCGAGGGTTATCCCCTCTCGTGCCACTACAAGGTCCGTCGTCATTACATCTTTTAAAAGTGTTTTATCGTCTTCATGAAATTGAATGTCACGTGCCGTGACAATACCCAAAAGTTTACTGTAAAGCTGGCCATCTTCTATTATATGCGGAAAGTAAGCCAAAATAATATCTATTAGCCAATTGAATAAATGTATACCTTAAAATAACGCAAGAATCTTGAAGTTCAGAATTTTCATTTTCTACATTGAATGCACTTTTGCATCCAAATTCAGAAGAACGAAAGTTATGTAAATTAAATAAATATATTTCATCATTATTTATTGTCGGGTGGGATTATTTACCAGCAAAAATTAACGAGTCAAAGAATGCCAAATATCAGCTGTTCTTTTGCTCGCTAATAGTTGTGTGTGACGAGTACGTTACCAGTGATTGGAATACCACTATAGCCGAATTGTTGTTTAATTCGATGTACATCGGCCACGTTATGAGTAGGCGTCAAACATACAGGGTCAGTGATGAAACCATTTTCGAATTTTTTCACTTTTCGAACCATTTCAGCTTGTTCTTCGATAGTACAGTTGTTATGTATTACACCAACGCCACCTAATAACTAAATTAAGAAATAGTAAAATACACGTATGTTAATAAGAAATCTCGAGGTTATTGCAATTGAATAAATATGAATATTTAAATTTGTATTTGTATTCCTGTTGTGAGATGTTCGAGAGTATATGTCCCATAAGATATCTATATAGAGTACTTACGGCCATGTTTATAGCCATTTCTGTTTCTGTAACAGTATCCATCGGTGAACTCATAAAAGGTGTATTAATGACAATATTTCTGGTTATTCGGGACTCCAAAGAGGCTTCGGACGCGGGAAAGTCGACATAACCAGGAAGTATTAAAAAATCATTATAAGTTAAGCCACCATTAATGCGAGAATCGAAAACTTCTTCCGCTGAAAGACCATCAGGGATCTCATGGTCTTTTAAGTATTGAGCTGCGGTTTTTGGATCGAGAAAACCATTAATTTTTATCTCATCTTGATGTACCATTCTGACTTTTTATACAACTTCAAAAAATAGAATTAAAAAAAAATTTTTTTGTGTCAGCACCTAGTCATACTTTTTAAACTTGTGACGTCATCGTCGAAAAAATAAAAAAAGCTTTTTTCTATTTTATCTACTGAAAAATCGGTTTTTATATTTTTCAAAAAGATGGTGAAATTTCTTAAGCCGGGTAAAGTCGCCATAGTTTTATCAGGCCGCTATGCAGGCAAAAAGGCTGTTATAATCAAGAACGTTGACGAAGGTACAAAAGAACGTGCATACGGTCATGCCATCGTTGCTGGTATCGAAGAATATCCGTCAAAGGTCACCAGAAGAATGAGTACTAAACGTATTGCAAAACGGTCAAGAATCAAGCCTTTCGTAAAGGTGATCAACTATAATCATTTGATGCCTACTCGATACACCTTTGAACTCGAAGACCTCAAGGGTTCGGTTTCGAGCGAAAATTTAAAAGAACTCTCGCAAAAGAGAAAAGCCAAGGTTTCCGTTAGAAAAGCTTTCCAGGAAAGATATAAAGCTGGGAGGAATAAATGGTTTTTTACAAAACTTAGATTCTGATCACACATCCGATCGATGTCGAGGTTTCTTTATATTAATTGGTAAATTAATGCTAATATGATCTTTAATTCTAAGATGTAATAATGCAATTATATAATAGAACTATGAATAAAGTTACATCAACATTTAAAATTGCTTTCCTTCAGTTGGCGTGCTTTACAAATGCAATTATGGATTCAGATTTTAAATGATAGCTTTTAAGCATTTCCCATCAACCACGGAAAATGTGCTCTTAAAAGAACGCATTGTATTAAGATACTTCCGTTAAGCCGAAGCATTCAATGCAATAGAAGAAAATTTCGGTTTAGACGGCTTTGGTTTGATGGGAATGCCTTAGTCTAGATAATATTTTATATTAAAATTTAATCTTGAAAGAAAATTACTATAATTTTATTACAAGTAAAAAAAATTATAGAATTTATACTAGTTATATTAATTAATCTATATGAGTTAAATTAGTTAAAATATACTAGAAAAATTAGTAAAGCTATGTTAGTTAAAATAGTTAATAATACCAGTTAAAATAATTAAAGTATAATAGTTAAATTAAATATTTAGTCAGTCAGTTATGTTAATATATAATAAATCATATAATTAATGAAATAAAAGGTGAAATAATGTTAAAAAATCATAGCTTTTATTAATTTACTAGAAATAATATTAATTATATCATTAATCTTGATGATTTATTAATTAATTTGATCAGACAAAAATTTTAAATATATAAATTAATTTAAAAGTTTTTTTTTATTAATTTTATAAACCAGTAATTCTTTTCATTATAACTTGTCATTATGATTATAAGTTATCATTATGATTATAAGTTATCAAAATGTCCAATTGCAATTCTTGAGATATCTATTAAATTAAAAAAAGCATTTCATTTCATTGAAATAAAAAATAAACTTAGATCAAATGAAATAAGTATTTCATGAACCAGTATTACAAATAATGGAATGTCAGTTTTCAATATGATTATTATTTAAATAAAATAAAAAGACCCTTATTAATTAGCTGAAGATTACTTGCCACGCACTTTGTTCTACATCGTGATTTATTCGAGATGAACATTGTAACCAAAAATCCCGACTTAATGCTCGTTCTGTATTAAAGTAGCATTTATATTTTATAATTGAATTATCGAGAATTCAAATAACAAATTACATATGAAAGATATTATCAAAGTATTAATTAACTTAGAATATGATGTGATACACTTTTACATTAACCGAGTAAACTAAGGTTTCTCTTGACACTCAAAATTCCAAGCAACTCAACTCAGTTTCTTATCTTAATAACATTTCGCTATTATTAAACGCGTCATTTGTGGATGAAGTTTAGTATATATTGCTCTTGGCCCATATACTTGCATTTTTTCCTGAATTCCAGTTGTATTAGCATTTGAAGCCTTATCACATTACATAAAATAGCGATAGAAAAAGATTGATGTTAACCCGAATTTATAATTTTGTCGATCAACACTCTAAATGTCAAAAGAAAAAAACAACGAAAAGCTTACCTTGATTGAAGAGACTTCCAATGTTCCGTTCTTTAAAAAGAAGAACAAAATTAACAAGAATATACGCAAACGTCAAAGAGATAAATCTGATGATGGGTCAGATAATGAAGAAACAAACTCTACAGTAGTTAGAAAAGAACGTAAATTGGAAGCTTCCCCTTTTATACAAGAGACTAAACGGGAAAAAAGAGTAACAACTGAAGATATAAGCGTTACTTATGCCTCAAATAAATCTGCGGCCTCTTCAATGCCTCATGATGTCGCAACAAGAACAGCAGAATGGGATACAGCGGCTGATAAAGATGCACAAGCTTTGCTAGAAAAAAAGCTGGCTGCTGAAGAGGTAAGTTGAAATAATCTTTTAACTTATTAATCAAAATTGATAATTATTAAAAACATAGGCAGAAGATGATAATTTATATAAAGGCCAACACGCTTATAAATCATATATAAAAAAACGTGATACCGCAGCTGGAAGTGCTGCCAGCTCCAAAATAAAAGCAGGACCTATTCGAGCGCCAGCAAATATTCGGGTAACATCACGGTTTGACTATCAACCCGACATATGTAAAGATTACAAGGGTAACTAACTCAGAATATTAAATGTTTTGCATCTTTAAGTTTTTCTTTGGATCACGTAAAACTGTAATTCTTTTTTTCCCTTTAGAGACTGGGTTTTGTGGATATGGAGATTCTTGTAAATTCCTGCATGATCGTGGGGACTATAAAACTGGATGGCAACTAGAACGCGAATGGGAAGAAAAGCAAGGAAAATTAGGACGTGACCCCAACACGTATATAGTGGAAAGTAGCGATGAAGATAGCGATAATGAATTGCCATTTGCTTGTCTTATTTGTCGTCAAGAATACTCAAGTCCAATAGTCACCAGGTAAATTTTTCTTCCGCTAGTTCGATTGTTTTTTCAATTTTCTAAGTTTTTTTGTAATTTTTTTATAAAGATGCGGTCATTATTTCTGTGAGAAATGTGCAATAAAAAATTTCGCAAAAGATCCAAAATGCTTTGCATGTGGTGCACCAACTAATGGGATATTTAATGCAGCGAAAAATCTTTTACAAAAGTTAAAAGAAAAGAAAAAAAGGTATGAAGAAAAAGAACAAGAAAAACAGCAACCGCCATCCAGGGAGGTCAACTCTGATAGCAAAGATAATAGTGATGAGGATGACGACGAAAGTGATTGAGGATTGCATATTTATAATAGTGAATTCATCGCACTTGTCTTTAGGATTATTATTTATTAGAATCAAAAAGCGATGAGCAATCCTTTTCTATTTTTCAAAATTAATCTCCAATAATTGTACATCTGTTCCTCGTATAACAACGTGATCATATACACCAACTGGTGATTCCCAATTATCAAAACGGAATTTAGATTCCATTGCATCAGTGCCTTGCAAGTTACCCTGAATTGTAGTGCTAAAAATTAATTTAATATCAAAAATAAATAAAGAAATTTGTATGATACTAAAAATAAATCTTTCGAGTATTTTTTACTTTTCGTAAAGTTTTGCGATAGTCTTTGGTTTATGACGCGCCACATCCAACCAAAATAATAGAGATCTTTGGCGAAGATTGGCTAAAGTTTCTTTATTGCTTTTTTGTTCTTGTTCTTTTGTTGCATCTTGATTAGAGGAATCAACAGGCAATGAGTCCTCTCGCATTTTCATTCGGTTATCTTTTTAGATACACTTTTTAAAAATCGATTGGTTGATTAATTGAGAACTGGCAAAAAACGTGCTTTATTCATACTCCATGTTCATTGATCCCCTTGTACAACAACAAAACATCAACTAGATCCCTGGCTAGGCACGTTGAATATGTAATACATTTATGCATAAATGCATGAGCCAAAAATATCCTTCCAAAATTTTTTTTTACATTTATTCAATTGTATGTATCACATTTACCACGACTTCTATTAGCTATTTCTCTCTATTATCGTCCCAATTCTTTGAGAAATTTGGAATAAGTTGACATACATTTAAAATGGTAAAGCTTTCTTTTAGGTGTTCTTTGCTAGAGAGACTGTATCGTCCCTCACACTAAGCATGACTTTTAAGAATTTCGTTTTTGGTCTTTTCATTTTGTACCTTTAACAAGAGTTCGTCTAATCAGGCAGACCCAGAAGAATACTATGTTCGACAAGATAAAATAGGCAAGAAAGCATTTCTCATTTTTGCTGTTTATTACCTTCAAATTACCCTAATTGCAAGAACCGAGGCTTATATGGAGAGACAAGCGCGAAACATTTGACGGCGGAGATTGAAATACTTACCTTTTAATGAGTTTAATTCGATTTTATTTTTGAATTTATCGTTAATTCATGCATTTAAACATTATACAATAGGCAAAGGATCTTTTGGCGAGGTGTATAAAGGGTAAGTTATGCTATTAAAATAGAACACTTCCTTTAATTTATTATGATTATAACGCCATTTTTTTATTGCGTTATAAATAATTATTTGCATTCAGATACGACAAGAAAACAAAAATGCCTGTTGCTATAAAGATAATCGATCTTGAAAGTGCTGAAGATGAGATTGACGACATACAACAAGAAATTTCCATCCTATCGCAACTTGACTCGCAATACGTTACAAGGTTATTATCAGTCTGCATATTTTAAATAATTATGAATTTTTTCCTTAAACAAAATATTTAATGTTTTATTAGGTATTATGGATCTTATCTCAAAGGGACACATTTATGGATTATAATGGAATACTGTTCAGGAGGATCTTGCTCTGATTTAGTAAGTATTAAAAATTTTATTATAATTAAGAGTAAGCGTAGAAATTCTTTTAACAAGAATTTTATTAGATGAAACCAGGATCCTTTAAAGAAGATTTCATAGCTATTATATTGCGGGAGTTATTGAAAGGATTGGATTATCTTCATTCAGAGAATAAAATTCACAGAGGTCAGTTTAAATTTATTCGAAATGTGTTTATATATGTATATATATTTTTATTTACTAACTTACTTATATTAAACTTTCCGTGTTTAAATAGATATCAAAGGTTCGGAAAGAAAAAAATAAAAATATGCACGTTATTAGAAAATACATTTTATTAATAAGAATAGATTGAGAAAACAAAAATAATTAGATTCTAATCTAATTTATTATTTACTACAGCCGCTAATGTCCTCCTGAGTTCAGCGGGTGATGGTATGTAAATACTTATGATTTTCCTAATTGAAATTTGATTGTCGGTTAAATTTCATTGTTAATCTCGTAGTGAAGTTGGCAGATTTTGGAGTTTCGGGTCAGGTTGGTATATCATATTAAAAGAGAATATTAAATTATGAGTAAAGTGGATGGCTTATAATTTTTCATTTTAATTAGCTCACGGCTACTTTGACTAAAAAGAATACCTTTGTTGGCACACCGGTAATTACTATTGGAAAATTTTTGAAGTTTTGGCATTTATTAATTTAATCTTTGATCGAATAGTTTTGGATGGCGCCCGAAGTTATTAAACAATCAGGATATGATTATAAGGTATGAATTTATGGTGATAACTTCAAACCGAAATTTTTTAGCAATGAATTATTTGAGTCTATTTATCATATTTAGGCGGATATTTGGTCTCTTGGGATAACCGCTATCGAGCTAGCAAAGGGTGAACCTCCTTACGCAGAATTACATCCAATGAAGGTTCTATTTCTTATTCCCAAAAATCCACCACCAACTTTGGAGGGATTATTTTCGAAATCTTTTAAAGAATTTATACAACTTTGCTTACATAAGGATCCAGGAAGTGTAAGTAATTATAACTTTTAATTGCTGTATGACTCGAAGAATTAATCATATTTTTATTATGTAGCGACCGTCAGCAAAAGAACTTTTAAAGCATCGATTCATTCGCAATGCAAAAAAGACCCCTTTTTTAACAGAATTGATTGAACGACATGAGAGGTGGCTAGCAGAAGGTTTGGATCGTCAAGAATCAGACGGTTCAGAACCTGCTGAGGCTGGGTACTCTATTTAAAGATTATCTTGAAATTATTGTGAATCTAACGCTAGACATATACTAATTTTTAAAATAAAATAATATTGACGATGGAATAAATGCAGCCATGATGACGGTGAAGGAACAAGTTGGGAATTCAATACTGTTAAATCTCCAAAACCAGTTTCACAAAATTTAACCGACGAGGAAGAACATCATTCAAGCACAGATTCTACCATAGGACCATCAAAAGGCAAACAATCATTGGTGAACATTTTATCATAGTCTTAATTTGGACATTACTGCATAATAGATGTACTATTATTAAAGTCTTTTTCGTTTCAAATATTAACGAAAGGCAAGCACAGAAGATTCTGGTTATGATACTATCAAACATCTTGATATTGACCGGAGACAAAATGGCGATGACGATGATTATGATGATGATTATCATCAAGATGATAATAATCAATATGGATTAACCGGGGCTGCAGTGTACGAACATGTTTTTGTTCCTGCTATTGATAAAGTACGAAAAAAATTTTGTAAAGAATTTCCAATTTTTGTTGCCCTTCTCACTCGATTACTTTGTGTATAGTTATGCGGTATTGCACCGACCACTAAAGCCCAATTAACCTTGGAAGCAATTAAAAAAGCATTCAAAGATGCCGAACAAGAGAACCCTGGTATATCTGAAGCTTTTATGCATGCCGTCTTACAACGATATGATGAGATAGCTTGAAGACCGTCTAAAAGATTGCATTGCTATGCACAAAACGTATTTTGGACGATGAATCAAGTATTATTTTTTGTGTTATTAATTTATTTAAGAAAACTGTCTATTGAACCTTCTAATGAAAAACACACGCACACAATTCACTCATGTATATGCTCTTCAGATACCAGAGAGTGAAAATTACCATTCTTGTATTTAAAATCAATATCTATTTTTTTGATTTAACAAGATTTTGTATTTATTTACGGTTCACTTGATAAGAAACGATGATAACCAACAATTAGCTCATTTTTATTGTATTTCACAACAAAGAAAATTGAATTGGTCAAGGAAATTTGCAAAAATTATCAATGAATTAATAATTAAATATTACACTTTATATGAATTCGGCTTTATATTATAGTACAAATGTTAAATTGGATGTATAAGACGGCAAAAAATTCATTCAAATGCAAAATAAATTTATATAATTAATCTAAAAAACTATAAATATAAATACAAAAAGAATATATTATATAGTGTCTAGCTTCTGTGACTTCAAGGTAATGCAAAGAAAATTAAATATACCGTATATCTAAAATATTGATTACCAATACGTTAAGAAAATCTTAAGCTCATCGAGATTATGATGGCATACTTCGCGTATTGGATTGCCAAGATGTTCATCTACCAATGACTGCCAATTCTGTTCGATACTTTCTTTACAGCTATGTAACAATGACGCGAGGCGCGGGTGTGACAAAGAAATAGAAACGTCATAATGATCATTCCAAGCACGATTTGTTTCTTGAAATTTTTCAATCAACAATTGTACCCATTCCGCGTAAGAATTGGTATTAACAGGATGATAAAATGTGTGTAATTGATCGAAATCTTCATCATTGGCATCTTCCTCACTTTCTGAGGATTCAAAATCTGATTCGTAATTATTGTTAATGCGGATATTAATAACATTTACTACAGCTGGATTGCGGAACCCTCGACGTCTACGTATTTGAAATGGTGGTGGAGTCAGCGAAACCCACGCATCGATTTTTTTCAACGTTGACTTGTTCATCGTGACAAAATTCATAAATGTGGAAAGTGGCAACGCACCACCATCAAGCTCTTGAAGAGTGTGAAGTTGCTTAAGACCTTGCGAGTATTTAGAGAGCAAAAGGAAATCTTCGCCTTCGTGAAACCCGGATACTTCGATTGTAAGATTTGTGAGTTTCGGACAATATTGTTGAAAAATGGATCGGTACAAAAATTCTTCCTCTTCTAGACTAAATTTTGTGCCCCACCACGTTAATGACTCAAGGTCAGGCGAATTCTCAAAAATATGGACAATATTTTCGAATTCTAATTCATCAGTCACAAAAGAATCCAAATGAAGATCGTTTAGGTTGTTTTGTGTGATGAGATCTACGATACAGTGCTTTCCCTCGCTACCCAACGGTCTTCCATTTTCGTGCCAAAGCTCAATACTGTTCAAATCACGTAAAAGACTCAAAGACGCGACAAAACAAGACCCATGACGTTGAAATTCTGAAACGAAACGAAGTGATCTTAAACATAATCTACGTATCTTACGTGTACTCATTATCCCAATTGATTTAGCAAGATATTTTGTAACTAAAGTAAACGAGCGCATGACTTCTAGTACAGCAATAGTATTTCGTTCGGCATACTGTTCTCTAGGACAAATTAATAAACCGTCAACATTTTTGCATTCTGCTAAAACCAAGGGTAAACGATGCCAAGGAAACTCATAAGGTTCACACGAAGTATTAATAGTGATGGTATGAACTAAAGATGCATAATTTAGAAATGTGTTCTTTGTGCTGTTTCCTTCGTTGGTCAAGTTCAAAATAGTGTTGGCAAATTTGTCGAAATTACACCCTGGACCAATAATAACTCTATTGTATAGTTTGTGAGCGGCGAATTCGTTGAAAACTTTGTTAACTGAAAGTAAGGAACGTAAGTTGGAACGATCGGAGAAGGAGTCAACGACCTGTTTCCACAATTCTAAGGGTAGTAGTGGCATTTAGTAAGCTATATTTACCATATTTTAATAGTCTGTTATTCATATAAGGTGCGCACAGCATGCACAATGATATTTTAACCAATAGTCGACATGTATAACATTAATTAATGCATTTGGTCATCAGAAATGGGGTCAAGCCACAAATTCGCCACGCGAATATTAGTTCGTGATTACATACAAAACAATCCGAAAAATAAAAAATACTGACTTTTTGTCTTATTTCTAACTTTAAATCCCAACTTATATATAAACAACAATTTATCTTTTATATTGAAACACAACAATAATCATTATTTCTTCAAGTTTCACTCTTATCTCTTTATAAAAGAGTTTTTAAAGAACTTGGACTATCTTCTCTTAATTCTTGCTTCTGTTTCTAATTTACAATTTATAGCTTATCAAAGTTATAATATATTATTTAATGAATATAAATAATTTATATTACATTAAGATGAATATAATCAAATCTCTCTATAGTCACATCTCTTTATAGTCATCTTTTTTTAGAACTACATGATGAAATATATTACAAATTATTATCTGCTATACTTAAATTTAGCAAAATAATTCAAAATTCTTGTGATTGTTAAGAAGAGAGTTTTATTTTAAGAGATAAAATCAAAAAGAAGAATATAAAAATATAGCTATTTTTTTAAGTTTTTCAGTTACTAATTAACTATAATTAAAAAATCTTTTTATAATTACATCCTTTTTTTAATAGAACTAAATTATCAATTATTGATATTGAATCATAAAATACTAAAAAATATGATAAAAGAAAATTCTTATTTAATATAAAAATATATTATATATGATAAAAAAATATCATATAATTATTATAAAAACTTTTATAAATATTATTTATAATATTAAAAAATTATTAAATCTTTTATTTTTCAAATTATATTATTTAAAATATCTAACTTTAATTATTTTATAATTTTATTAACTCATTACAGAAAATTAATATAAAAAAAATATTAAATATTAAAAAACAAATTTTATATTTATTCAATCTTTATTTTCTGAATCTAAAAAACAAATATTATTAGAATAATATTTTGAAAATTTATCTATTTCAATTTTATGACAAAAAATTATTGATAATATTTTAATTAAAATATTTATTATATATAATTTTGCTTTTTTTATTATTAAATATTTCTTTTTTAAAAGTTTTATATATTAAATATTAATCATCATTATGAAAAAAAATTGATAACAGAATTTTTAAATCAGAAAATTATACTTAAACTTCAATATATTTTTTAATAAACAAATAATTTAATATTAAATAAATATTATTTAATATTATTATTTATTTTATTTATAATTTTATTTATTAATTTTTATTTTTATAATAATAATTAATAGTTAGATATTATTAATAAATTAATTTTTATAGAATTTTGTTATTTTAATATTTATATATAAAGAATATCTTTTTTATTTTTATAATTTAATAGAAAAATATTATATTAATAACTAACTAAAAAATATTATATATTCTTTAAAAAATTAAAATTAAAAAATTTATTATTATTATAATAGATAATAATATAAATATTATAACTAATCATTTATTTGCATGATGTAGCTATAGCATAATTATAGTACATAGCATAATAATCACTAATTATTAAATTAGATATACAAGAATTTTATATTAATTATTTTTAATTTTATTTTTAATTTATATTATTATTTATATTTAGTCTTATTCTTTTATTAATTTAGTCATATGTATCATACTTAATTTATAATTTTATTAAATTAATAATTCTTTAATTAATTATTATTAGTTTTTTTCTTACTTTAACTTTGAATATCTTAATATTTTGCTAATTTTAATTCTTAATTATCATATATTTAATATTCTTTATGATTATTCTTTTGAAATTCTACTTGTTCTTGAGTAAATTAAATAGAATATTATGTTAAAAATAATTTGTAATTAGTATAGCAAGAAAATATTATATATAGAAAATTAAGAAGTAATCAAGAAGAATAATTAAGTTTAATAAAAAGAATTAATTACTGAGTTAAAAGTAGTTAATTAATATTTTTCTTTAATAAATATGTATATTTTATTATATATCTTATCTTATTTTCTTTTTGTTTTATTAAAAAAGTATTTTATTAGAAGTAAAACTTATATATATTATCTTATTAAGAAGATAATTAATTATATAATCTTTTAAAGCTATAAAAGTAAATAATTTCTATAAACATAGTTATTCTTATCATATTAAAATATTTATATACACATAAATTTAAAATAGTAACAGTTTTTTTAGTACTCTTTCTATAAAGGCAAAATTAAAAATTAAAATTAAAAATTAATAAATTAATTCAAGCTAAACCTAATAAAGTTAATTAATTATGAAATAAAAAGATAATTTTAGAGATTAGTTAATCTTTTTGACCTATTTCAATTATATAAATCATAAGAAAAAGAACTATATTAATTAGTTAATAGTTTATTTATAACAAATACAGAAAGAAATAATATCTCATCAACAAAATATCAATTATAACTTTAATTTTAAAAGTACTTGAATTATATTCCTATTAAAATAACTGATATTATTTATAATTTACATAAGAAAATTACTTTATTTAATTAACAGAGATTATAATATACTTAATAATCAAGATCTAATATTCTAATTAACATTTTAATTAGAATATTTATATTAGTTTTATTATTATCTATTTCAATTTTAATTCTTAATATATTTTTTCTAAACTTTTAAGTAGAAAAAGAACTATTTCAATTTAATTTAGAAATACAAGAGAAAAAGAATCATCAGATAAAGAAATTCAAAATTCTATTATTTTAGATTCACCTTCACTTTAACCCTAATGAAATCAAGAAAATATGATAAATCAAGTTATATAAGCTTTAGCTCAAGTACTCAGTCTACTTGTTTAAGTAATACAAGCTTAATAGAATAGGCAAGTTGAATTATTAATAGTATTACTTTTCTTTTATAGTAGTAAAATACATAAAGATCCTATAAATTAGATTAAAGAATTTGAATGCTTAGTAAATACTAATAATATAATAAATGTAAAAAAAATTAAAATAATATCTGCATACTTGAGAGAAGTTATAATAATATAATTTTAGCAAAGTAAACTTGCAAATAATGATTGGTCCATTAGCTAGAATAATAATAATAATAATATTTTATTTTATTAAATCTTTATTATTTAATTTAGAATAAATATTCAAATTCTAGCCTAACAATAATAGTTAAGATTAAGAGTATAAGAAATAAATAAAGATATAACTTCATATACAGAAGATATTCATATACTACTTTGCAAAATTAATCTAATATATATATATTCAGTTACTTATTATATTGAGCAATTTGTAAAAAACTTAAAATCAGAAATTATCTTTTATATAAATAAGTCTAATTCAGATACTTTGAATAAAGTAATTACAGAAGTAATCAGTACTAAGTTTAGCTATAAATAAATTTATCAGAATTCTTTAAACTTTATATCTCTTATATCACAAAATCTTGGTATTTCTTTTAATATTTTTAAATCTAGTAATTGATATAAATAAAACTATAGCTAATCTTATAGAATAGATAAGAAAATTATTTATATTATAACCAATCACTTATTTGTATAGCGCAGTAGATGTGGCACAGTATATAATGCAGTTATAGCACATAGTGCAGTAATTACTAATTATTACTAAATCAGATAAATAAATAATTTTATTAATTAATCTTATTTATATAGTATTGGAACTCTATACTCAATAATAAAAATGAATATCTTTAAAATCTATTAGTACTTTATAGAGACAAAATTAAAAAAAACTAAACTGATAATATTATTTATTAGAATAAGCTTTATTAAATTACTAGTCAG